TGTGGACAGAAGTCACCTTCTGTGAGGGGTTTAAAGTCCATCTGGGTGGCCTGCGCAAGTTGCCCTTCTTTTCCTGTGAGGCACCAGGCGCTCTGAAGGTGTTCAAGGACAAGGGTTGGCCTTAGCACACACATGAATGAACCCATGAGTGCACTTGGCTTCTCAGGAGGATCCCAACTGCAGCAAACCCCTCCTGTGGGCCTTCATGCAATGCATCCTCCCCCAGCTTCAACTTCCTTTCTCCTCTCCTTTTCAGGACAGCTGAAAAAGAAGATAGGTGAGTGCTGCCTGGCATGTGGGAGGCTGCTTATCCCTAGAGTGCAGAGTAAGAATAGAAAGCACTCTCTGTTCCTGGGCCCAGGCAGTCTCCATGCTAGCAACAAACAGAGCCTGCTGTTTGCCTCCTTGTCTGCTGCTTGTCATTCCCTTACCTGACACCACTGTTCTGGCACACTGCCTTCAAGAGGAAAACACAGGCAGAAGTCTTGGGCTTTGTTAAAGGGTCCAGTCCTTCAAAGTGGGAGTCCACCATTGCCAAGGGGAACATTCCCCATATGACTCACCTCACCCTCCCCAGCTACACTACATGGTAATGTGTCCCTTCTAAAGAGCCTGCTCCCTCCTACACATGCTTCACAACACGCTCTTGGGCAAAGCCATTCCTGGAGCTACAGGCTCCTTACAGATGTTTCTCTTCATCTCCTCTTGGGCACACAGAAGGAGCCCTTAGCCTTTTGCCTCCCCAGGCCTGCAGGACCTCCACTGTCCCACACAGCTGCGGTGTTCTCTGCTACAGCCTCTCCAGCTTCTCTCCTTCTCTTGAGAACCTGGCAGCCCACAGCTGATCTCTTGATGTCAGCTTTGTTTTTCCCAGAGTCTCTCAATTCCTCAGCTGGCCATGCTTCCAGAAGCTCATACAGCATCATGCCTTGCAGCTGCTGAGAGCCCATGCCTGACTTCAGTCATGCAGAGCCTTCAGGCTCCATGTTGGGCTCACGCCGTGGGCTCCTCATTCCTGCAGATCTCTTCCCCCCCCCAATAACCATGAACTGACGCACAGAAAGGCAGACTCAGCCAAATCCCCACATCTGGAGCCCACATGGGGTGTGAGCCCACTGATCTCGCTTTCCTAACAGCCTTTCCCCTTCCTTTTACAGCCCAGGTGCAAGGAGAGAATGGTAAGTGTTCTCTGCTGTCTGGGGTGTTGCTATTCCGGAGGGAGAGGCTCTTTCCAAGAGGCACATGCTGCTGTCTGGGACTAGGATTCTCCATGAGGACCATGACAGTGGTGTCCTTGGACATGCTGTAAAGGAAGCCCATGATCAGTCAATATTGCTGTGGCCTCAGGTGTGGCTGCAATCTGTGAAAAGGGCTTGCCTTAAAAAAATTGCTTGTGGGAAGGAGGGAAATTGGATGGGAAAAAAAAAAGAAAGAGACAAGGAAGGAAGGAAATAGCTGTGGTGTGGAGGACTCTGATTTTCCATGTGGACAGAAGTCACCTCCTGTGAGGTCTTTAAAGTCCAGCTGGGTGGCGTGGGCAAGTTGCCCTTCTTTACCTGTGAGGCAGCAGGCACTCTGAAGGTGTTCAAGGACAAGGGTTGGCCTAAGCACACATTTGCATGAGTCCATGAGCACACTTGGCTTTTCAGGAGGATCCCAACTAGTAAACATTGTTCCTTGGGCTTCCTGCATAGCAACCTCCACTTCCTGTAATTGGCTTTCTCCTCCGTTTTGCTTATCCCTGTAATCGCAAAAGGAAAGTTCCCCGTATGACTTGTCTTACCCTCCCCAACTCCTCTTCATGCAATGTCTTTGCTAAAGAGCCTCCCTCTTCCTATCTGCGCTTCTTGCGATTATCCCTGGAAATTCCCTTCCTGAATCCACAGGCTTCTTGAAGTTCTTTCCCTTCACTTCCACTTTGTCAGACAGAATACGCCTGTGGCTTTAGCAGACATGTCAGGAGCTCAACCCTTCTGCACAGCTGTTTTGCTCTCCCCTCTCATGGAGGGAAACATCATTTAATGCTAACTGCTGCCTTCATGTAGGAGAGGGAATTAGGCCTAAGAATCACATGGGATAATTCCTGGACTCCAAGACATATAGGAATGGGATTAGGAAACAGGATTGCAATGATGTATTGTCAATTGTCTGTAAGACACTGAGATTTCACCTTTCATGACAGCTGCGAGATACCTCTGCAGAAACAAGTTCTTCAGCCTCTTTACCAGTACACTCTCTTGTCTGTCAAGGACTATGTGTTCTTTACTCTCTTTATTCATGGTGTGTTTAAAAAATTTCTACAAAACCAACCACTTGAGCAGCCCCCTGTTCTTTCCTCTTTGGAGGGTGAGATGGGTTTGTGACATGTTTTCCAACCTGTAGAGAAGTCATGGTACTGAAGAAGAGCATGCTCATCTGCCAGCATCATAGACTGTGTGTGAGCTAGCTGGAACCATCATCTGTCTTTTGGATCCACTGAGTGTGCCCTTTATTTGTTTTCCTACAGAATTTCTGCAGGCACAACAACACAAAGGTAAGAAAAATATCAGTGCCGTGTCCCATCTCTTGGAGTCTGAATGCAGCTCTGGAAAACACATTCCTCCTTCACAAGGGGTGGTTCAGACAGCCTCTTAACAACAAGAATGGTTTCTTAACCTTTCTCTTATTCATTTGCTGCCCAAGAAACATGACAAGTCAGTGTCAGACTCTCTGGGGTTTAATGCAGTGTTATTGATTCTCTGCAAGAGGTTTCTGTGATTCTGGTTTTGCCCAAAGAGGAGTTGTGTGCCAAGGCATGGTTCTTCTCCTCTGGTCATTCCTCACATTCCTCCCTGAAGCTATCTGGGCATCTTCAAGGGAGTGTCTTTGAGTTGCTTTGAGAGGTGAGAGACAAGGAACATAGGAGAATTGGGACAGCAGAAACTAGAGGTATCCTGGGCAAAGAGGATGACTAGGATGCATCACAGTGAAGAACAAGGGCTGGCAAGAGAACCAATGTGGGGGAGGTTTCACAGCAGCAACTTTTATGCTTTTCACTACATAAGCTACTTGATCATTACAGTTGATTTCACCCTGGATGCTGACACGGCTCACCCCAGATTGGAACTATCTAAAGATGGGAAGAGCATGAAAGATTCTGGCACCATCAGAAAGGTGCCCAGCAATGAGAAGAGATTTGATTCCCACATTTTTGTGCTGGCAAAGGAAGGAGTCACATCTGGGAAACACTACTGGGAAGTGGATGTTGGAAAGAGAAGAAGCTGGGCCTTGGGTGTTGCCCAGGAATCTGTCACTCGCAAAGGGACATTGACGCTGTCCCCTAAGAATGGCTTCTGGGTCATAGGATTTGCAGATGGGAGAGAGTATTGGGCCTACACAGATCCTTGGACCCGCCTGAGTGTGAGTGGGAAGCTGCAAAGGATTGGGATCTTCCTGCACATCTCAGCCAAGCAGCTGTCATTTTACAACATCCATAAGAAAACAATTCTGTACACTTTCACCTTGGGAGGTGACAGCAGCCAGAAAGAGAAGCTTTTTCCTTTCTTCTCCACAGGTCCTGCTACTACCAACCCTGATGATGACCCTCTAAGAATAGCGCTGATGTTTGATCAGGATGATGAGTGAATGGATGACTAGAGAATGCATGCTTAATGTCTGACTGAAACACAGAGCCTGAGATGACACTGCATTCTTGTCAGACGCCTGGTTTGTGCCACCAAATCAAAGTTGAACAGTTCTTTCATAGAAGAAGCTTTTGCACCATTATTTGCTAATCCTTCTGTGAGCCAGTCAGGAAGGAGAAGACCTGTATTTCAGGACCCTGGTCACTGAGCGTAGAGGACCTTCAGTTCTTCTAAACACAAACAGAAATGGAATGCAACACTGTTGTGGGTTTGGACTACGTCTATTGTCAACATGAGCATGACAAGATTTTCTGTGCCAGTCACTGAAGAGCCCAGCAAATATTCATGATGTGTTTGTGCAAATGTAGATTGCTCTCCTAGGATAGGAAAGCTCTCTGATGGGTTTACATCACACTTCCTAAGAATATCTCCCACTTCTCTTGCTCAAAGTTCAACACCCATCACAGGTTCTTCTATCTCAGATGGAAGAAGCAGGTGTCCCCCGCAGGCAGCGTGCCTGACTTGTCACCTGTCTTGCTTGTGAAGCTGAAGAAAACTGGTGTGAAACCCAGTCCCATCCTCCTGCTTTTGTCCAAAGTATGAATATCTTCCCCTTTCTTGAAAGCAGGGGCAGAATCGACACTTCAAAATCAAGGTAGCTGACATTCCATGTAAGTTAGTTTGAGTCAAACTGTCCTGCCTGTCCTGCCATTTGTGGATTCATATAGTCAGGCCAATGCCTTTTCTCTCCTTACTGAGTCACCACTGGGCACTGAGCCAGGACCTGGCAATACAAGGTGAACCCCAAGGGGGAATGTGAGAGGGAAACCAAGCAAGACAGAAGGAGATTTGGATACATCCTCAAGAACACTGTCTTTTCACAATGCCTGTACAAAGTCTTTCTTGTACAGTTTTCAGAGTAGGGTCTGGCAGAATGAGCATGTCTTTCCCTTCGTCTCTTTTGTGGCCTACTGCTGCTAGGACACCAGATCCCAATGTCAAGGCAATACCATGACCAGCACAGGAGGCACCAGACACACAGCCAGATGCCAAGATGATGGAGAATCCTGTGCGCACCCCCAGCTCCTGGCAGGTAGTGATGACAAAGTGACCAGATATCACCTCTCTCACTAACCATTCCAAATCCCACTAGTTCTGTGACATGGAAGAACCATGCTTGGAATAATGATTATTGTTATAAAAGTTTATTTTCCAGTCAGGATCAAAGAGAAGACATACACAGGTAAGACAGCAAGCAAGGAACCAAAGTCATCTGCAAGACGGACTTCAGAAAGCATTGGATTGCAAGTTCTGGTAAACTTCATAAATAAGAAGTAATGTCAAGAGAAGCTTATAGGATTAGCAAGGCTTTTGCAAATGGTAACACAAACTTTTGATTCAAGGGATTTGCAGACTGCGATATTCTCTAACTAGCTAAGAGAGGCATTATGGTTTGACTGCTTGATCTACACTTGGATTTGATAATCTTATGGGTCTTTTCCAACCTAAGTGCTTCTATGATTCTATAAGCAGATGGGCAGTCACAGTCCAGAGATGATAGACGAAGCATCGTGTCTTTTTCTTCTTTCAGAGTTTGTTATTGTACAAATCCAACTAAAATTATTTTGGTATGTCGTTCGTGTAATCAGGATTTTAATTATAAATAAATATGGTGCATTTTTCTGGTTGGAATGCATTTCTCTATTTTTTTATTACTTTCACATTTTTTTTTAGAAGGGGGTGAAGGACTCAGCTGTACTGCAAGTCTTGTGCAGATGAGAAAGAGGAGCAGTGGCCAACTCCACTGACCTTAGTGAGCCTCAGCAGAGTGCAGGTTCTGATGGGCCAGAGTTTCCATCCGTTACCCTATCCACTCAA